GGGGGGGGGGAGTGTATAAATCTACTGTACATGAAATGGATTTAAATTGTGAAAAAAACCGCTTTGAGGTAAAATTTTTAAGTGATCTCCTGATATTTTTATGAAGTTTGATATCAGAATTTTTAGCATTGCACTCTAAGCATAAATATCAGCACAAAACTTTTTTTAGGCTTGTGTCATTTTTATTTGAAGTCCATACCACTTGATTGCCATAGGGATAGTTAGCGCAATCAATGACCTAACCACAAGTTTTTGCGTTTGATATGTGACTGTAAAATTTAAGCATTAGCTTCGACTACATTTTACAAAATTTCACAAAATTTATTCATTGAACCTAATATCACAAGCAAATTTCTTTATTGCACCTTTATACCAAATAAATGTTCAATATAACATGAATATGAATCGAAGCAATCAAGTGAGAATTAGATGAGATTCGCAAAATAACTGTGATGGAAGAGTGATGAGCGTATTCCATAGCTGCATCTATTCGGGGTCCCTACAAAATGCAATCACATGTTGCATAAATAAGAATTTTACGTAAAGACAATCAACACATCCACAAACTCACAGTACAATCGAATCGATCATAGCAAAGATCGATGCATACGGAAGCGCTTGAACCCACTCCATCTTCTGAAATAAATTTTGTTACAAGTTCTTGTATAAGATGCTCTTACCTGCAAGATAAAATAAAATCCCCCTCCCACTGGAAGCATTTCGCGCGTTGGTGTCGTATCGAAGGGTCCCAATAGACCGTAGAGATTACTAAAAAGGTATTATATTCAAGTTGCCATAAAAAATGAAAAAATTAAAAACTTACTTAGCAGGTATCTGTCCATGCGGGCGCAGAAAATCCACAAGTGATCTGAATTTCGAGCAATTATCAACACCTTATAACGGCTTAAGGATAGAGATAACTATCAAACTAACTGTGCATAATATTGTCCCGGCCAAACATACAGATTGCCAAGCATATAGGGGCTCGGGGGACGGCTTAACAACCAATTTTCTAATTTTTATTAGACTATAATTGGATAGATTATATGAAGTGAAACTTGCTTTTCGTCATTTTCAAGATAACCGTCTATATGATTATCCATAGTTACAACTGAGATGTTATGACACAAACCTACAAAGAAAATTTATTGCTAAAAGTTATGTAGACTACCAGCTAAAGACGTGAAATACTCGAAACTGGCATGAGATAAGGGCACCAACGCAAAAATACCGGATATTCCAGAAAAAAAA